ATTATGTTTAAATAGCTTGAATAAAATGATGATTGATTTGTAGGTTAAATGCTCTAAGTTTAGGACAGATGCTACTTATAAAATATGCCTGATTTTCTGAGAATCAAGCATACAAAAATCAATGATGTACACACAAAAAGTGAAGGAATGCATTATTGTAAAAGCAGGATCCTCCCAGTTAGCACCTTGCTGTTTAGAAACGTCTGAGCTAGCACTGGCAAATTAAAAAATTGAATCACCTGCATTAACTGATTTATGTGGAATTCTTCACACAAGTTCTTGTATTGTATTTCGTTTTTTAATATTACTTAAAAACGTAAATAATGTATAAATAACTTCATACAGTTTTTAAACTATATCTATTGTATACTTATTATTAATTGTTTTCTGATTCACACCAGAGTTTATATAAAACTATAACTATGCTCCTTAGTGTGCATATACGGTATATTAGTCCTTTGTTACACTCACAAGTAAGACTATTTACCCTATGATGAGGTTACAGTTGCTTCCTATGCATGAAAATAGAAATATTAATCCACGTGTGACATTGACAAATAGTAATGATAACTTTAAAATATAATAGACTATGTGGTATATAGTGTCCAGTTTACTTCAGGTGCAAAGTTAATACTTGAAATAAATTCTTAAATTACTTTCACAGTCTCTCTGGCTGTCCAATCGCAGCGATGGAGAAGCTAGCCCAGAAGGAGCAAAAGTCAACTCCAAGCAAACCAATCCAAGCCAACAGTTCAAGTAAGTAATCTGATAATTCACTAACTTAAACAAACCAGTAGCTAACAGAAGTATTCATACAAACCAATAGATGGAGCTGTGAATAGTAAAGGAGGGACATTTTTTAGCTCCCACAAAAACAAACTAGAAATATGTTAAGTAATGGATTTCAGGGTTGTTGTTTTGTTTTTCTGGAAAAAAATAAGTATTACTTTTCTATTATCAAAGTTTAGAAGTAGTAACACCTACTGTTTAACACCTACTGTCAAAGCTTGTTTTCACAGATATCAGTGGATCCAGTTGTTTACTTCACTTGTTATTTCCTAAACAACTGGATCCACTGATATCTGTGGAAATAACAGGTGAAGCAAACAACTGGATCCACTGATATCTGTGGAAATAACAGGTGAAGTAAACAACTGGATCCACTGATATCTTTGGAAATAACAAGTGAAGGTAAACAACTGGATTCACTGATATCTGTGGAAATAACAGGTGAAGCAAACAACTGGATCCACTGATATCTGTGGAAATAACAGGTGAAGCAAACAACTGGATCCACTGATGTCTGTGGAAATAACAGGTGAAGGTAAACAACTGGATCCACTGATATCTGTGGAAATAACAGGTGAAGCAAACAACTGGATTCACTGATATCTGTGGAAATAACAGGTGAAGCAAACAACTGGATCCACTGATATCTGTGGAAATAACATGCGAAGCAAACAACTGGATCCACTGATATATGTCTTCACCTGTTATTTCCACAGATATCAGTGGATCCAGTTGTTTACTTCACCTGTTATTTCCACAGATATCAGTGGATCCAGTTGTTTGCTTCACCTGTTATTTCCACAGATATCGGTGGATCCAGTTGTTTGCTTCACTTGTTATTTCCACAGATATCAGTGGATCCAGTTGTTCACTTCACCTGTTTTTTCCACAGATATCAGTGGATCCAGTTGTTTGCTTCGCATGTTATTTCCACACATATCAGTGAATCCAGTTGTTTACTTGACCTGTTATTTCCACAGATATCAGTGGATCCAGTTGTTTACCTTCACTTGTTATTTCCACAGATATCAGTGGATCCAGTTGTTTACCTTCACTTGTTATTTACACAGATATCAGTGGATCCAGTTGTTTACTTCAATTTCCCCATATTGATGGGGTTGCCTAAATAGTATCCCATGACTAGTCTTAAACAGGTATTTTGTATCTTTTCAACTTATCCAGCTGTTAGTGCTTATACTGAACACTGGTAGAGCATAATCCAAGATTGACTAGATAAGACTTTGGTAACGTTCTTCAGCTCCATTTCTTGCGGTAGCTTTCAATGGATTGGTGTCTTTGGCAGTTATGGTTATCATGGTGGTAATGGAGATATTGAAATTGAGTTGTCTGTCAAAGGTTGCCCCAGCTACTTCAGAGTTCAATGAGAACTAGGAACATTGTTTTCAGGTCTCAGTTTAAATATCAGGAAGTTCTCCTTCATTTGGAGGCTATGTTCATCATTGGGTGATAGCTTATTTAGTAGTCAAATTCATATGATATTTAAGATTTCCTCAAAATAAATCAGTTATGAAACACAGCTATGGTGCATCTGCATTAACTATTTTTAGAAACAATGAAAAACTGTATTTAAATTAGTCTCAGAATCAATTAAATCAATGTAAATGGTTAAAAGCTTTTCCTCGATTCATTAAGGTTTCTAGTCCACAATTTTGGTATTCTAGATAATATTATAAAAACTCAAAAAGGCAAAATAAATCAGTCACTCAAATCGTGAATTAGACTAATGAGAATTTGAATTGCCGGGAAATGAAACAATTTTCTTAGGATTTCATATATTCGAAATATTTTAAGACTGGTACAGAATAACATAATCCTGGGGAGGTTAAAAACAGATAAACTTTATAATTTGGAGCGTTAGTTAGGTAAAAATTATTTTACAGAAAACCTTGATCAAGTGGTATTTATTTATTCTAATTTCAGGTTAAAAGATGTTGAGAAAAAGGTTTTGGCTCATGGACTAAAATTTAGTATTCCAAATAGAATTAAATTTGAAAATAATTTCTTGTGAATTTGAAAGGTTTCTACAAATACTGTCACACCAACATATCTGGAAAGAATCGGGACAAATTTTTAGTAATCTTAGAACTGAAATTAGTGGCTTAGCTTTCGATTGCTTTTAATAATTATAATAGTAGTTATAAATATAAGTTCAGAAGAATTTGAAGCTTTAGAAAATCTTAGTAAAAATGATAGTATGGTTACCTCTGAGTCAGAAGAAAGGAATAGTATTTTTATTTTAGATAAAAATAATTATTTAAGAGAAGTAGCAGAAGAAATTGTAAGTGATTCTAGAAAATTTGTGTAACTACAGTATTATCCTACTGATGAAATGGCGGCTAAATGACGATGGTATTTACTACACTGAAGAAAGATAGCATTCTTAATGAAAATCATTATTTGAATATTAGACCATCAGGTGGTCATCCAGGAATCTCCTATGGTTAACAAATGTTCATACAGCAGGACGCCCCTTACGACCAATGGCATCTAATACTAGAACTTATAATTACTCTTTATTTGAATATTAGACCATCAGATGGTCATCCAGGAATCTCCTACG